GAATGCGTCTAGCAGATTTTTCGAAACAACATGGTGAATTTTTTGGAACATCTATCTAAAGTTCAACTTTGTTCGATTAATATTCTTTTATGATTTGTAGAAATTTCTTTACGTCATACTTTTAATCTTTTGATTATTTTTTGTTTTTTTAATTATTAATTATTACATACCGATATTTTAATATTTATTTTTATATATCAGTATTTTAATATTCTAATTCGTAAAAACTTTTTAGAGGTACATTTACTTCTCTTACGATAATCTGAGAAATAAATTCAATAAAAATACTCCGATTGTTTATCGAGTGTATTTTCGAACAAATTTGCGTTTTACTACACATTCCGTCCATGTACATTTTCCCAAGAAAGCTCCTTTGATCATTTTCTTCGAATCTTTTCCAAGAAAATCTTGTTGAAGGCGCGCATTATTTGCTGAAATATTATTCGAATCGGTTGTTTGGAAAAAGCAAGAGAGACGCAATAAAATAATAAAACTTAAAATGGCATTTTATGCTCCAAAGTAAGGTAAAATCTAATTCAAAAATTTATTTTATAAAATTTTTTGCACTATCTCCTTTCAAAATATTTTTATTGCAAAGATTTCCTGTCAGATATAACAGATTTCTGAATTACAATTAAAGTGTGATTAAATTAATCAAACCAACACAATTATTGTTAGATCTGTATGTAGTTAAAATTTTGCATACTTCATGTTTGAATGATATTTCCTTTCATTATTATATATAACACGTATCATTAATTCAAGTGTCATGGTTAAGGAAAGCGAGAAAAAGTAGGTGATTTCCTGAGTGACATTCGCGTGCGATCTCATATCAATTTCAATTATACGATTCTCAACTCGCATTCGTATGTCGTAAAATAGGTGCGTGCATGCTCTCACGAAAGTAAAGACACGCGAGAGAATAATCTCGAAGTGGACAACTCCATCCGTGGCATAGTTAATAGGACGCTTCTCCCGGGTCTCGCCAATGATTTTCCGGCTTGCATGAGGAAATGCGAGCGTGAGGCGTCAATATCCGGCGAGAACGACAAGCATGCGACGTCGCGACGTGACTGATGGCATGCCGATACATCGATTCACGTTGCACCTTCTGGCGTTCACCTAATGATCGTGTCGCTAATATTCTTCCGCGATATATCGTGTTACTTCCTCTTTTTAATGAGCGGCTTAACTAATCGAAACAGCGTCGCGAGGCAGCTACGTATTTAATCTTTTTTCTATTTACACAAACATATTTTTCAAAGTTTCAAAGGCATTAAACTTTTAAATTTAAAGATTCGAATTGTCCAAAGTAACAATTCTAAAACTAAGTTTAAAAACTCAAAGCGAGCAATTCCGGAGGACCTTACAAAAATGCGGAATTATTCGAAAATTAAAACTATTATAAACTTTATATGTTGTCATGTATAACATTATAATAATATAATTTATATACATATAACAGTGTGATATGTATATAGTTGTGGTTTAAGTGTGTGCATATTGTTATTTTTTAAATAGAATTATTAATTAAAAAAATATTTTGAATAAAAAAGTTACTTTGTTTAAGATCTATAGGATAACTTGAACAAAAATTCAGTAAGTTTTACTTTTTTAAAATAATAATTTTTTTAAAATAATAATTTAATACTCTATCTTTTCATATTTGATTTAAAAAAAAATTCACTTACGGCGTATTCCTTCTTGACAAATTCCTGGATCCATCAATGTGTATTTTACATGTGTATTTTACTGTTGTTATATATACTGATGATTAAACATATTGTAGTTATCTTTTTTATCAGACTCCTACGTGAAAATCGAAATACATTTGTTAAACTACTGCTTAAAATTTAATCAAGTTTCACAATACCTTTTAGAGTCTTCATGTAAAATAATTTCAGCAACGACTGTTTCTTTCCCTCTCTATCTTCGTTCTTCTCGTTTTTCCCGGATTAAAGCCACACGAACGCATGGGTGAGGCAGTGCCAGCTGCTTTTTTCATCTCAAAATTAAACAAACATAATTAATTTCCGCCCCCGCGCGCCCGTGTTCTAGCGTGGAAGCGCGCGGAAGGTTAAATCCATTTATACATATACACATAACACTAACTCGAGTACACGGAGGCCAAGCCTTTTTATTTGCGCACGAAAGCTGCCGGCCGTTTCCGACGGCGATCAATCATTTCGCGGGAGAGCATGGCGAAACAGTTCACCTCGCGCTTAATTTTGTGCTAAGACTCTGAGTCTCTTCGTTGCAAGAATATTCTTCAGAAAACATTCTCTTCAGGGAGATAAGAAAATTAGATAACAAAAAAATTTGTAATTTAAAAGAGTAGAGAATGAGAAACTCTAACTAAAAACGCCTCGGCGTGTTAGAAGAAAAATATTCGAAATATGTTTGAAAATGTGATTTTCTGATATTTCATATAATAAAAAAATAGAACTCACAAGGAAAAATTAATATCGCACTAGGCAAAGCATTCCAATAATAGTAAGAAATAAAAAACAACGAATATGAAAGACTGAACAAGTCACACTGAAAATTCTTCGATTAAAATTAAGACGAGAAACGAGACTGAAAACAATCGAAATCCGAGCAAAAGTCATTTTGAAGTGTGGCTCAGTGGCTGTCTAGTAGATGAAACTCGGAGACTAGGCCTCGAAGCCGGATGTCATCGATCAGTGATATTCAAAATGTTAATAATGTTATGCATGTATGTGTAAGCCGACAATGTCATGACACACTCATTATAGGGATTCGAGGCTTAGCTGATCTTTCAGTTTCCCTTACTAGGCAATACTGTACCACTGAGCCATACAAGCCCCTACGTGGACATTCTCTCTGTTATGCCTTCGTATATAAACCTTACACACGTCTAATTATAAATAGTTGGTAATAAAAAATAATAGATATTATATAATAAACATGCCTATTATAAGAAAGATTATTATAATTGTAAATTAATGATGTAAACAAAGACTGGAAAAAAATAATTTACTCGCCATCTACACACCTCAGTCATATTTACTAAAATAAATCTGGCAGTATACAAAAAAATATGATATTGTACCAATAATACTGTAGAAGGAAGATTATGAGCATGTTTTGTATATCCATACTCATAATAGTACAAAATTATAGTGCGACGTATCAAAAGAAAAAGTAATACATTGGCAATATAATGTTTCCACGAGATTATTAGGACATCCAATCAATCATATAATTCTCACAATTTCAACTAACAAACACCATCGATTTTAAAATTTAACAACTATTTTTTTTTCAGATAATTTATATGTAATCCATTTACATTATTCTCACAACTCAATTGTCAAACAAAAAAGAAATAACTTTCAGTAATATATTATCGACATCGATAATGCGAGTAATCATTTTCTTCATTAAATCTTGATAATGCATATCAGTCTCTTTCTTATTAACCTCGTCTTAGTTTCCTGCAAAGAAATACAATTTCATGTCGTATATGATGATAGTCGAAACGATGATAGTTTTAAATAAAAAATTCTAGATATATTCTCCAGTTCAAATAGAGAATTTTTACTTACTTATTCAATTTAGGTTCTTTCAAATTTGTCGGCGCCTTTCTTCGTTTAGGGCGATTAGAAGGATAGCTGCTACTTTCCAAATCTTGTTGATCATCTTCATTAGACATGGTATTTCTCCTGCAAATTCAGAATATAAAAGCAATCCAATGGCTTATAACAATTTATAATTATAATTATACATACATGACATTATTAATATTCTGAATCATGTTCGATTTAACATGAGATTCATTTAGCTTCTCTAAAACGACTTTTGCTGTGCTAGGATCACGATTACTTTTAGATTTATTTTTCAGTTTCGCCTTATTTTTAATTGTCGGAGAATTTTCAGCGTGAGTCGTTCTATCTTTCATATTCGGTGTCCTCGATTTCTTATTACTGGAATGCTTTGTTTTTTGTGATGTCGACGTTCTCTGATGATCGCCAACTAGAATTATTGGCACTTTTATCGTGATATGGTTATAATCAGATTTATCTAAACTTTGATTCGATACAGATGCGATCGGAATATTCGTAACTCTTGGTATCGTGGCGGTTACTTTAGTATCAATTTCGTTATTAACATCGGAATTATTTATCATGGATTCCTCCATAACAGGCAGTCGCAGTTCGTTAATATCGAATTGCATATTTTGTCTTGGTGGACGTAACATTAAGGTAAAGTCTTCTGTCTCTTCCGGTGCTTCAGAATGCCCTCGTCTCAGCGTTACGAAGCTCGTAAATTTCATTGTATCATTTGCATTACCTTCTATGTCTTCTATGTTATCTAAATTTTTTTTATCATTGGATATGGCCGCTGTCGGAAGTATCTCGCAAATACTATCGTTCGTATCATGCATATAAGAGTCACACTCGGAACGATCGGCAAGGTGATATCTCTCTGGAGTTTGCATATCATTCATAGATTCATTTAAATTCGATATATCTCCTATGTTGCTTTCTGTAGCACTAGAATCATCATACACTATTACTTGTGACGTATTATTATTAACATCAGAGACGTCATCATTCTCGAGTTCCGGCTCATTATCTCGTGGTGGTATGGTATTGTTGAACATCCAACTTGGACCTTCCAATGGATCCTCTTCCTCCCAAGTTCTAGTATTATTTTGCAGTTTAGAACTTTCCGTTACACTCGAATTCTTACTAAAATCTTTAGAGATTTTATTATTTATTTGTATATCAGGATCTGACTTCGATGTGTCTACGTGTGTTTCATTTTTCTCGTTCGAGTTAATAGGCACCTGTGATTCTGATATTGCGTTTATTCTATCTGTCAGATGATCGTCAGACGTGTCATGATTCTCTTGATTTTCAATGTCAATTCGGTTGTCAATTACCTACAGAGAAATAAAAAAAGTAAATGTAGCAATCTCTAAAAAATATTGTATAATATTAGGCATACTATTTTTTACATCACATGAATGAAGCAATTCTTATAATACTATAAACAATGTGAGAGTACCACAATAATTTAAAAATATCCTTAGGTTTTATTGTTTAATTATTATAATACCACTTACGTTAATATGTCCCGCAGTTGTTGGACTTTCATTGGACCATCTATTTCCCGATCGTGAAAAAGATATTGACAATCTTTTTGGATGAGTTCTTCTTCTTCTTAATCTTTGTTCATCTGTCATTGCAAGTATATTTAAATATTAGCAAAATATAGAGAAAGTTAAACTCAATTAAAAATTAATTGTGAACAAAGAATAGTGCCAATTATATACGAACCAACACAAATTAATCATGAATTATGTATGTTATTTAAATAACAAGGAATTTTAATCTTTTTTTGATCATCTTCAGTACAAAACAATTAACAATATTAAAATAATTAATTAAATATTAAACATTATGATCAGAATACAATTAAAAATATACAGGATAGATCAAAAGTTGAATATTTCAAAAATAAAACATTTTCGAGAAAAATGTTTCAGACAAAAGTTATAGAATTTAAAAAGATCTATTTATTATATATCAATGATTTTATTAGTTTGAGCTTGCAACACCAAGATCAGGTTTTTTGAGCTGGTTTTTATAAGTTGATTCTTAACATTGCAATAAATAAAATCTGCTTTAGAGTGCAAATCAAATAAAATATCAAACTGAATTTTTTATTTAGCTTTTTCCAAAAAAAAAAACGCCCTAAAGAAATCTACAGGCAATTTTCTTAATTACAAATGTCGCAATTACATTGCGATATTTTGTCACTAATTTCAACATTTAATTCGTCTCCGACAGAAGTCTTCCATAATTTTTCCTATCGACCTTTAATTAATTAAATTACTATTCGTAATTCCTTACCATTAACTCTGGGTGAAGAAATTGTTAATCTTTCTGGTAATCTGCATGTATGACCATTTTCCTGAAACAATTGTTTAGAAAAAGTTTTATTATTTTTTTTTTAATGGTAAATGTTCAGAAGTGCTCCCCAAAAACCACGGTTTTTTTTCGACAGTGAACAAAATTAATTATAAAAAAACATGTATACAACGTTTTAAGAGGGGACTTGTGGTTTTTGAAAAAATTCTATCTCAAAAACGAATAAGATTGATATTTTTTATTTGATAAATGTATACTTTATACCTCGAGTTGAATTTAGATAAGGGAGAGTATCCTGAGTGATTTCCTGCAAAAAATTAAATGGAGGACAGCATTGGTTTAGGAGTCATAGTAAATTAAAGTTCCATAATATGTAGAGGATGACATTGGTATAATACTTATATAATGCATTTCCATCAATGTAGATTGACTTTAATCTCAGTTTAACTTATTCTTCGTTTTTTCCTAATCTTTAGAAAAAGACAAAGAGTAAGTTGAATCGAGATTAAAGTTAATTTGTGTTGATAGGAATGAGCTTTACAAGTATATTACGAGTAGTAAGTTTATATAATATGTGTTTATATAATATGCTGTAATAATCTCTTGAAGAATGTAAACAAGATCGGAAAATCACAAAAAGTCGCAGATATTTTATAAACAGTTGACGTAATCTGTCAACAGCTTTCAATATACGACTATTTCAATATACGAATTTTTAAGTCTTGGCAATGATACGAATTTTTAAATCTTGGCCATGATAAGAATAAATGAATAGTTCTTATTCCGCATTATAAAATATATGCGTGGAAGCAGGAAGGTAGCACGTACTGCCTTTACGCATACATTTTCCAACGCGAAACAAAATCCACCTCACCTCCCCTCTCTATCTAGGAACATACTATTTGCCACACGTTCAAAAATAAAACTGTCTTATTCATTTTGCAAATTTTTTTCTACAAAATCTACAAACCTCCTCTTAAAATACATATCTTTTTATAACTAGTTTTGTTCATTACGAAAGAAAAAAAAGAACAAAAAAAAGAACGTGGTTTTAGGGAAAAGCACTACACTTCTTAACATTTACCTTTTTAATTTATATAATTTTAGAAGTAAGTTTCATATCCAGGCTAAATATTTGAAAATACTTTTCAAAAACTGACATTATTAGAATTACTTATTGAAATATAATATCTATATTGTTAAAAGAAAATTGTTCCTTTAACAGTAATTTTTCAGCAAATAAGTTATTAGATATAGATATTGTTATGTATACATGAATATTTTAATAAGTAATCCCAAAAATATGTCAATTTTAAAAAAGTGTTTCCAAACCTTTGTAATGTAGGACCTGGAGTGTATATGTGATCGTGGCGATCGTGGTGTAGAGAGTTGTGTGGTTGCTCTCTGTGCTAAAGATCCGGGTTCAAATCCACCCAGAACATATCAGATTTTATTTGATCGTCACCTCTCGGAAGGCAATGACAAACCACCGAGAGTATTTTTGCCATAACAACCTCTTCTAAGGCCGTTCAAACACAATGTTAAAAATTTGTAAGCCCCATATATCGGAAGATATATGCACAAGAAGTCATCACGTCTCTAATCAACATCTGAGAATTATATGAGACATATAAAATAAATGTATACGTACATATCTAAGAGACATAAAGGTTGATGAAGTCGGAGATCTATTCTCCGAACTTCTAGTGGGTGTGTTTGCTTCTGGTATAGCAGACAGTCTTGATACATTAATATTTTGCATATTAATCCGACTTAAATTTATCGTAGGCTTAGTAATCGTATGCCCACCCACCATAGGTTTTACCACTCCTTTTGCTGGCGATTTTGTTGATAATCTAGCAGATGGTTCTTTACCTGAAATATATATTCTTATATGAAGACTAGATATTATAAAATGCTTATAATGCAAATAATGTATATACATAAAGAAATTAAACTAAGAAATTCTTAAAATTTAACAGTATCATATTCCTCACTTCCAGTTGAAGTAGACAACCTCACAGCAGTATTGGAAGCAACAAGCTCTTGACACATAGAGATAGTATTTGTCATATAACCAGTCATTGTGACTAACATTTTTAATATTTCTTTTGCGTTATTCAGTACATTCGAAATTACAGTCTGAAATAGATAATAGATAATCGATTAAATTAAAAACTATAGTATTTACTAATATGTGTATTACAACTTTATTACATGTATATGTCACAGTAAAAGTGTTAGTAAAGTTTTAGTAAATGTATATATTTATTAGTATCAATGTACACATTTATGTATAATACAATTAAAGCAGACTGCAGTAAGTATATACATTTACTGAGTTAACACTTTAACTGCGACACATATATAAACTTTTATTGTAAAAATTGTAATAATCTTGATCTGAATAAATGTTATCAAAGTCATGACCCTGAACAATTCTAGAGCCATTGGTTAGATCATTTGGAATCGATTCTGCAAATATCGTATTTCATCACATTATACGAAATTTGATGAAATACAATGCTTGCGAAACTAATTCATGGAATTTTGCGACTGCAATTGAAGAAATGTGAGCAGGAGCATTATGATAGAACCAAAAATTGATTGTTTTATGAAAATAAAAAAATTAATGAACACATCTGTCTAAAATATCTGTAAGTAGTATCTCTATGAAGGATTAAACTGTTTAAACTTAGAACAATTTAATATTTGTGGCAGCATTTCTGTGTCAGACTGAAAATTTTTCGAACTTCGTGTGTATATACATATATACACGTGTGTGTGTGTGTGTGTGTGTGTGTGTGTGTGTGTGTGTGTGTGTGTAAACAATATACATACAAAATATACATACAAAAGATAACAGAAAGAGATAGTTATATAATGATACTTACATTTCGTGTGTTACATATTAGATTTAACTGTTGAATCTCTCCTACTAGCTCTACATTCTGTGTGAACAACTCTTGATTGTTCTGTTTTTCTTTAGACAGCGCTTTTGCTAAGTGATTATTATTATGCTTCAATTTTTCATATACTAAAAGAAAAAATAATTTTAGCAAAACAACTGCTATATGTTAGAGAGAATAAGAAATGAATTGTTATATAAAATGCAAATTTTCTTACATGGTCTATAGGATCGTAATTCCTTATAATGTGTCTTTAAGAATTGTGATCTTTTATTAGCCAATACCCCAACTCTCTTAACTTTTCGAATTGGCATTTTTGGCATGTTGTATGTACAATTTTATGTAATTCCTCTAGCTCAATGAATTTACATATAGAGACAATAGGACTATAATAGGAATATATAGAAATTAAAATAATCTTATTCTGTAACTGTTAACGACTACAACAATATTACAACAATACTCTTACATTAATTGCACAGATTTTGTATTTGATATAAAAAACTGTGCAAAAGCAATGTAATGATATTGTTATAGTCGATAAGAGTTACACAATAAGGTCCTGAACCTCATAAATTTATTCGGAAAATTCAAATAAATATAAGTTTTATCATTATTAGAATTGAAAGGGTAAATTGAATGATTTAATTATATTAAAAATCTCATTTTTCGATATTCTTTCTTATCTTGCGAAAAATTAGCCCGTGAACAAAACAATCTTTTATTGCTGTTTATTAGTGTATCTTAATTTTCGTTCAATATTAATGAAGATACAGATATGCTTCTCTCTCTCTCTTTCTCTCTCTCTCCCTCTCCCCCCCCTCTTCCTTTCAACACATACCAACATACCTCATAAAAAAAACGTACTTCGTAAAGTATCCAGTTTTTCTTGCGTACCTACAAATCTTGCGAAGAAAATCTTAAAGATTTTCTTTTTTCACATACGAATAACTGAATAAGAGAATACTCAAAACCTTCGTGACGTTTCTATCTGCACTGAACAGTGAATGTTGTAACACATCGGTATTTAAATGATCTCATAGAATAATCCTGAGCACACATCATCATACCTAATACACATATATTGGCACACAACATATGTTGTTGGTCAGTTAGTGTCTTCCATTTTAAATCAGAAGTCTGTTCATGGTAGAAAAAGAGAGATGAGACAACTTGAGGGGTACGCAGGAAGACCAAATTTAGGACCTAAGGTCCAAAACGTCCTCTCCGAAGAAGATTTTATTCTATATGCTATAGTATACATTACGTGTACTATATATTTCGAGTAAAATTTTCCTCAGAGAGGAAATTTTGAAACGTAGCCTAAATGTAATTCGGTTTGATTGGCCGTTGTGTGACAACTTGAGGGATATGCGGTAAAATCATTGAGTGTAAGTTGAAGTGAAACAAATATACGTTTGTTTCACTTTAACTTATTGCACCGGTTCAGAGTGCAATAATAAAAAACAGATCTAAAGATAGAACGCACCAAGGATACTTTCCAATATTTACTGCCAATGCTGAAAATCTATAGCGCACGTAACGTATACTGTATAGTTTCACCATTGGCAGTGTATATCGGAATACATTCTTTCGGGCTACGTTCCAAAATTTCCTCTTCAAGGAAAATTTTACTCGAAATATATAATACGTGGTGTATACTATAGCATATAAAATAAAATTTTCCTCGGAAAAGACGTTTTGGAATATAGTCTTGGTCTGTTTTCTGTTCCTGCACTAGACTGTTCTAGAATTCTCTTTCTCGCTTTAAACAAATATCAAACATATATCTATCTCACTTTAAATTCCAAAAGTGTACACTAGTTCAGCCACAGAAAACAGACCTCTGGTTTCTCGATAGTTTCGCTCCAATTCAGTAAAGATCCAATCAGAGTTTGGCTATGAGAACATCCGGCACTTTTTACAAAATTGTGTGTGAGAAAGATATGAGCTATTTCATTTTCGCTCTGTAATATATAGAAGTCTGATCAGGTCAGAGAGGCAACAGGTGAAGAAATCGTTTGATTGGCTGTTTAAATCACGATGCCATTTTTTTCACACGTTTGGTAACGTTCAGCGGACCTATGCCCGTTTCCACCTATAGTAGATTAACTTTAATCTCGGTTCAACTTTACTCTTCGTCTTTTTCTAATTCTAAAAATTAGAAAAAGACGAAGAGTAAGGCCGGAATCAGATTGTACATTGAAGATTGAGATTAAAGATTAAAAATTGAAATTTCATCAATAAGGACAAAGAAATTTTGGCTCCTTTTGTTCTGATTGGTCAAACTTCAATCTTTTAATTTTCAATCTCATTCTTCAATGCGTAATCTGATTCCGATGATCTTAAGTTGAACCGAGATTAAAGTTAATTTATATTAGTGGAAATAGATATTATATAGTTGAGTGAGCGCTCGCTGTTATTGGTGTATTCTTTTAGATCATCCAATCAGCATTTTAGATCTGGAAGAAATACATCAATAGCAGCGCTTACTCAACTGTAGTCCGCTGAACGTGCTTGTATTTAAGCTTATGGCATATACAAAAATTAGATGTATCTAAAAACACGACCGCTCACTGAGCGCTCAGTGAGCTCTTATATCTGTTTAGTCTATATTTTTAGATCTAATGGAATAAGCCACTAGTCGCGTTCAGCAGACTCAACTGTTATGCAACCGTTTTATGAATGATATTTCGCATTCAAGTTGACAAAGCGATTAGCTCGGTCGTCGAGCAAATAAACATAATTATATAATAAATTTATATAATTATTACTCATATATCCTCCAACCAATGATATACAATTGCTCGGTAAGCATGTCTAGCCACTTTGCTATCTTGAACTTGCCCATTGTCTGCTGAGATTCTTCATTCTTCTAGATTTAAAAGTATAATCCAATCAGCGCAAAAAAAACTTCCAAAAGTTGCAAAATAAACGTTTTACTGAACTGAACGCAGCCAGTGAGTATTCTTGTGAACAAAATGGCGGCAGTAATCTAGGACTTAACCTAACCTAACCTAATCTAACCTAACACAACTCGGTGGAGTTGTCCAAATCGGATAATATTATTTACGCTACTGTATAATATTATTTATCGCTTCGCTGATTAGTTGAATAGTTGGTGTTTCTGATACTGGATTCTTGATGCTGTAATCTAAATGCAACTTTATGACCATTTCTATCAATATGGATTAACTTTAATTATTGTAGCGAATAGTATCTAGCAAACGAGAATGGATTGAAATTTTTTTCTATTCGTATTTTAAATAGCGAATACTTTTTTTGATTTAATTGGATTCAATTAGATTCAATTGGATACAATTGGACTAAAAAACTGCATTTCTTATTCAAAATTTTGATCGAACAATATTCATAATTGTGTTTGTGTGCACAGAAAAAGTTAATATATTTTTAGTTAATTGTTAATATATTTTGAAAGATATGAAGATGCTCCATGCAATTCTTATAAATGAATAAAAATGCATTCAGGATTGAAAAGCATTTATTTTAATATTCGTGAATCAATATTCCTGAAGATCTGAATCCATTTCACTAAATTTCAATCCATTCTCATTTGTTGGGAACTTCAATTTAAAAAAATTTCAACATAGCTAATTTGTAAGCTGTGAATACATCACAGTTCAAAATTATGAAAATACGCACTTTTGTTTAAATAAAAAAAATTATGACAGAATTATTTGTAAGTCCTGAATTTATCAGAGTTCATTATTGATTAAGAATATTTCTTTTTTGATGCATATAAAAATATTGTTCTATTAAAAAAAATATTGTTCTATTTAAAGAAAGAATTATAAATGTTTATGAATAAGTTTATTTGATTTATGCTCTCACGTATTAATTCATTTTAATTCAGTTCTGGGCTCTAAAGCATGAACTCGGATAAATTAATTAAAATGAATATTGAATTGAAACAATTTTTTAATTCATTTCAATCCATTTACTGAGTATATTAGCGAATTAATATTAATATATTGTCTTACAAAATGTTATTTATCCATGAGAAACTATTCCCTTCCAATTAGGGAGTACAAATCAGGGCCACTTTTTCTATTTGCCATCAAGTTCGATCTTTATCTCTTCATTCCAGTTCCACCGGTTCCACGTGAATTTACAACTTTCTATGCGAAACAAGGGTCAATCACAGCCCAAATCTATGTGTCTAGTTTTTTAGTAGTGAAGTCCCGTAAGAAAGAGGGCACAAAATCTACTGCATGCATCCATGCTTATATTTTACAATATGTCATGGATTAAATATGTATTTATACTACTTACAAAATACATACCTTCTGGCCATAGATTATATTCTATTATATATTTATAAAACTTGTTAATAAATTTTTAACGAATAAGGAGCAAAAACCTTCTAAAGGTCATTCAAAATCATGATCTTGACAATGTTAAGGTCAAGATCATTGGAGGTTGTCCCCCCCTTTCTAGTTTTAGCACATTATACATATATGTTAGACACACGTAAATATACAATGACTCATACGCAGATTCGAATATTCTTATAATACTAATATGCTTATAAAAAATATAACAAAATTGTAAAGTTCAGAATTTTCAGTTCTTTTTTTAAGTCTTTGTATCGACAACACTAGTGTTCTCGTATTATCACATATTTCGTTACTCGTCGTCATGAAGATAAGCATACAGGTTCATCTTATTATTCACTAGCTATCTGTGTTCCTCGGAAATTTCAACCAATATTCCTTAATCATTTCTGCGCCTTTCTCGGCTATCATAATTACTGGCGCGTTCGTATTTCCACTTACGAGGTTTGGCATGATTGAAGCATCAATCACGCGCAATCCAGTTACACCATAGACTCTAAGCTGCGGATCGACGACAGCCTCGGGATCCCAGTAAGGACCCATTTTACACGTGCCAACGGGATGGTAGACGGTGTAACTATAGTACCTGATCATACATTCCCAGTAAGAATCAGTATACATAAGTATATGTTCGCATCCTGGAAACTGTCGTGAGTTGAGCTCGCTTCCAAATCGCTTAAAGGCATTGGTCCTGCTCAGGGCCACACTAATCTTCACTCCCTCTACTAATGTGGCGATGTCCTCCGCTTCCTTGAAGTAATTCGGATAAATGAGAGGATAATCGAATGGATTTTTACTGCGCAACTTGATTACACCGCGACTTTTTGGTCGTAGCAACATTGGAAGCACACTCCATGCATCCTTGTTGTTGATCGGTCCGAAAACGGCATCATAGAACTTCTTCGTTAGTCCATGAACTTTCCTCAATTGCTTGCCGCCATCCGAATTCGTCGAGCCAGAAATAAAATGCAGCTCGATGTCGGGAAAGTCCAGCGAAGCGTTTGCATATTTGGTGTTAACAAAGGCGACGCCCTCAACACCTCCAAGCACCGTCAAAGGTCCACTGCCCAGTACAGCGTATTCCATCAACGTCTGGATGTTATGAAGCCGTTTTTCCACCATAGAAATCTCTTGATTAACCATGAATGTAAGTCCACCCAAGCCAACATGATCCTGCAAATTGCTGCCTACCTAAAGACATAAATAAATCGGAAATAAATCGTATGAATTAAATAAAAGGTTGCTCAAAAATTCGACTGATTTATAACCGATTATCTAATCTAATATGATATATATAATTTTAAACGATAAAAATGTGGAGACCCCAAGAGAGAGAGACATTGAAAAATTTTGCATGAAAAAATTAAAGCACTAACCTTGCTATCTTGAATCACGGGAATACCGAGCTCTCGTAAATGTTCCTTCGGCCCAATTCCTGATAGCAAAAGTAGGTGCGGCGAATTTATGGCCCCGCCAGATACAATTACTTCCTTCTTTGCGCGCACACGAAAAACTTTGTCGTTCCTGACGAATTCTACTCCATAGGTATACTTTGTTTTGGGATGCACCAGCACTTTAGTAGCGTGCGCGTGCATTGCTATGTGCAGATTCTTCCTGAGTCTGACTGGCCTAAGAAAAGCCTTTGCACTGGAGCAACGACTGCCACGTCTAATAGTGCCCTGAGCGATCATAAAGCCGGTTTGAAATTCGCCATTAATATCGCGATTTTCGTATCCCATTTCTTGACCAGCCTCGACGAAGGCCGTCGCTAGGGGTGTGTGCCACGGTGCCTCCTGCACCGTCAAATATCCGCCGCTCGCGTGATACGGTGTGTGAACCAAGTAAGGATTCTGGTTATCCTCGGATTTCTTGAAGTAATGCAGGACATCATGCGAACCCCAGCCAGGATTACCCTGCTGCTCCCAAATGTCGTAATCTCGTTTGTTGCCTCTTAAATAGAGCATATAATTAAGCACGCTGCTTCCGCCCAGAACCTTACCTCGAGGCCAATTGCAACGGCCATTCTCCATTGCTACAAATATTTAATAACGTAAAAAAGAAATATGATAGAGAGAAACCGAGACACTGTTTAAATGTTTTAAACATAAAGAAAAGATGATGAAGGAACAACGGAAAAATCATAATACCTAGGCAAGAATCACCATGTGGCTCAGTCTTGTATTGCCAATCCAGCTGACTCAGTTGAAGATATCCGGCGAAAAGAGGTACGTCCGAGATCTCAGGTTCGTCACCGCCTGCTTCTAGCAACAATATGTTCCAATCTTCAATTTCGGATAGACGATTGGCAATTACAGCTCCTGATGCAAAAAGAAAAAGAAGGAAAAAAGTGTATTTGTCTTTGTATTACGTTCTTATAAAATATTGCATTCGTATTTCAAAATAACAAGAGTTTTATACACGTACCTGCACTACCACCGCCTATTACTATAAAGTGATACGAAGGTAATAGCATCTCTGACGGCACGTTGATTGGTGATGCTTCATTATCCAGAACTTCATAATGAAAATAGGCAAGTGTCGCAGCAAGAATCGGAAAGAAGAATGAAAGTCCACTAGTTGATGCTGAAGTCAAACCTCCTGCCAGAAAGCTTTCGATGCCCATTTTGTTTTCTCACGGTGCTTCTTAGTGAAGAACTAAGCTTACTTAATTAAAGTTAAGAATTATGTAATTTTACAAAAAATGTATCAAAAGAATACATATATGCAAAATAAAAATATGCGGATCCAGAGAAAACCTGTGAAACGCATAATCTTTATATAAAAATGAAGATATAAAAAAATATATTTAGTATATCTTTTCTTACATATGTCAAATTATACTAAATAAAATATACTAAAAAATATACTAAATAAAATATACTAAATAAAAAATAGATATACATGCACACAATAAATAATAAAATTTCTCTAATTTCTGTAGAATTAAAAAATTAACAGCAATTTCAAAGATTATTTTTTAAAATAGAATGAAAGATGGAAAATATTTGTTATTATTTTATAAAATGTAATAAATATAAATTAAATAATATCATAACGATAAAATGATGTAACTATAAAATAAACTTACTAATTCGTAAATGTGACTCTTTAATTTGTATTCTCTCTCTCTCTCTCTCTCTCTCTCTCTCTCTCTCTCTCTCTAAAGAAGATGCTTTCAAAAATATTTCCGACTGTCACGTAGTAGCATTACAACTTTCTCAAACTTGTTTTTCGTATAATATGAATGATAAATAATAGTGTTATTTATTTTCTTTTTTTTCGATTAAGACAATTGAGAATTTATCTTGAGAAAACATCTAATCGAATTAAACCAACGTGATATATTGTTAAAATAAATTGGCAATATTACATTAAAAATTGAAGAGGAAGTCACGTCTGAACAATCTGATAGCGCAAAATGAATATCAATTACTGATGAAATTTTAAATCTGTAAATCATTTCAAGTGAATTTATACGCATCTGCATTTATTCATAATTATTTCATGAATGTTCTTTAACTCGCTACTTAAACAATTTTATTTGTTATAACAGATTGTTGTGTAAGAAATCACAACAAGATACGTTTTGCACAAAGTGTGATGATAATGCATTCTTCCATTGATTTTTGATCATATTATGACAGCGATATTAACTAAACAAATTAATGTAACCTTTATATCATGTGGAAAGTTTCTAAATAAAATGTACATTTATTTTAAAAGTCTGTTTTTTTTTTCTGGAAATTGCTACGACACACGTGACTCTTATAATAAACTTTTGTTTTAATACGTATTTTTCTTTTGCCAACATACTAGAAGTTTAATGAAATTATAGAGAGAGAGAGAGAGAGAATTCAGAGATCGAATTATAAGTAAAAATAAGAAAATTACAGAAATGTGAAGCATTGCTTGTATTAACAAATGAATTAATACAAGCTAAACACTTCGAAAAGGAAAGCTGTACTAGTTCAATTGCCTACTTCCTGAAAAACAGCAGAGAACGTATACGTTCTAGAAATTTCCAATATCTTGAAATATTTACACGTTTCAAAAATTTTAATCCCAGTAAACAAAAATAAATTGAAATAGAAATGAATTCATTTCGACATTTCCGAATTTGCGCTTCTGATTTTTCAAATTCATTTGAATCCATGAACATCTGAATTCAACATGATAGCTCTTTCGTATTTTTATTCTTTCGTATTTATTTTATTTGAATTCAAAAATACTTATGTTGTAAATAAGTTAGCCATAAATACATCTCAGTTCAAAATTATAAAAATTCACACTTTTATTTCAAAAAAAGAAGTTATAACGGAAATAGGTATATAAGTCCTGAATTTATATCCAAGTACAGTATTGAATAGGAATATTCCTGTTTCGATCGAAATGAATAAAAATATTGTTACACTTATAAAGAAGGAATTATAAATGTTATGGTAAAATCAAAAGAATATTTACAGGAAATTTATTTTCAAGTCGTTGTTTTACTTTCTATCCCCATTTCATGAACAGAAACGAATGCCGTCAGATATCAATTTACACATATTTCAATTTATTTCAATCCAGCTCCGGGTTCTAAATCACGAACTCAGATAAATTAAAATAAATTGCAATTTTTAATTCATTTAATTTTTAATCCATTCCCAAGCAGCAAGGCATCTTGACTAAATCAAAATCAGTTCGCCCTAATTAAATGAAAAATTATCAATTGACATTAAAATGTCTTAAAAATCAAATATCGTTTAAAGTCTTGTGTACAGGGTACAAAATTACGAAATATAAATCTATGAAATGTCTTTAAAGTTCAGTAACTTTATACATTAGTTTATACATTAGTTTATAAATGACCAAATTTTTTATCAAACATGTGCCTTCAAAATTGATTCAACTTATAAGTCAAAATTAGATCCCGTTTGAAGGAAATATGACCTGGTTATATTACTTAATTTCAACCTCGTAGGCGATATGACTTAATTGATCAAAATTACCTAATATTTGCCACATATCCTTTGTGTATGACTTGACTAATAAGGGAATATTTAAGGCGTGAAATAAACCTCGCGGTCGTGCTGGAAGCTAATTACAAAGTTGAGATTATCATGGAAAATGATTTATAAGGAAAATTTTCCAACATTAGCTCGAAATACCCAGCAAAATTGCCCTAAAAGTTAATTTTTGGATCTTATTGAAAGTCGCCAATTGTAGTTATTGTGTCAAATTCTGTTTGCTGCGCAAATTTTATAAGATTTTCGTCACATTAGCTATTTTTTGTTCGATATTGGCCGAAAGAATGAGAAATCACTTGTCAAGCAGAACGTGTTTTTCTCTCAGTGCTGGGTATTGTCATTTCTAAAATTTTTAAAAGCGTGACCAGCTTTGATTGTGCATTGTAAACTGAGCAAGTTTATTCCGTGACGGAGACTAGAGATAGATTAACACAATCAATATTTACATTCACGGTGTTACAGGCATTTCTCGATATATATCAATCTAGCGATTTCTTCTTCTTTTTCGTGTGAGAATGGCCCCGACTCTAATACAAACTTGATATGGCCAGAATCGAAAATGTCGTTTATGCGTGAGTAAAAAATAATATGAAGAATACGAAAATCTAAAAGAGTAACATAAACTCAACAACAATTGCGCGTTTAAAACATATTCCAAAAATGATGATGCAATAACACGTCCGACACGTCGGCAGACGAACACCAATTGATCCAGCGATCTCTTCTTCTTCTTCTTCTCCTTTAATTGGCCTCGCAGCCGAACTGACTCGACTTGGCTATTGATGATCTTCGAAATATGAACCAAGATAAATTCAAGGTGGCACCGGCTATCTCGAACCGGGCGAATAGAGTTCTAAAAAAAAGATGTAATTCAAATGAAAATGGCGAGGTGCCCCCTAAAACACTGCTGCTTCGACGACGCTTCTGCACGATCACACGCTGAGACGAATGAAGGGACTTCAGATAATGTAATGCAAACTGTCGAAGTCAGCAACGCTTTTCAAAAAAAATATATTCGAGGTGATGCAATACCCGAGAGGGAACATGTCCAATCCAAATGGTCTCATCGAGTGATCTCAACTAAGTCAATTTAACTTATAAATAGGGAAATTGGACTTAATCAGATGCCTTATTGATCGATAAGATACCCTCAAAGTCAACGATTTGGAAATAAAAATGTCTTGATTAAGGAAATTTGTCCTTAAAGTTAGGTATTTGGCCTTCACAAGGAAATTCGACTTACAAGTCGAAATTTAGACGAAACTGTTAAGTCAGCCATCATTATGAGAACTGTTCTATCCGTCATAATATATTAAAACGCTTTTCAAAATTATGCATTGTAAAATAAATTATACTGTATCTCTCAGAATGATTAAAAATTGAAAAATAATATCTATTTCACATTACTTTTAACGTAGATGCAAGATAAAAATATTTTTATTGTATTAAGTATAAAATATATTATTGTTAAATAATTAACCCATAATTAATAATTTAAATTATTTATTTTTGAAAGCGCATTGATTTTAGTGAAATAAAATATAAATCTGTACAGAAAATTGTTTTTCGCACTTATATTTCTATCATCATATCATGATATTCAATTTTAGATGTGGAGACGGATTCTGTTAATATTTTATTTCGAACTTCTATGGCTTGGATCCTGGGATCGATTCTGTATTTTCAAACAAGGCGAATTTATTAGAATACTGATAACTTCATTGGTCAGCACCTAGTAAATTTGCTCACTTTCATAATTTTGTTTGAAAATATAGAATCGATCCTCTTATCAAGCATGTTACCCACTTAGGTAGAATTAATATGGATGTGTAGCGTTGCCATCTCTAGATGTCTCGACGAACTGAATTGCCAAAAGGAGAGAGGGTTAGTTAGAATTAGGTCAAAATTACCAAAATATTACCAAAATATTAATATTCGACCTTCTACTAGATTTATTTGACTAAATCCGATTATGACTTACAGAGCGAAGTGTTTTCCATTATCTAATTTCGATCGTAAAATTACTTCAATTTTATTGTCCTTATTTTCTTTCGATTCAACATAAATTGGACTTGGTCGAACAGATTTTATAATCTATCAGAAGAGAGAATCGAATAGACTAAGAAATACGCATAATTTATCTAGAATAAGTTCTTCCTATTTTACTGCTTAGGTTCTCGTTTACTGTGATGACATTTCTTCATAATTTAGCGAGATATTTTAATATGAAAAGCAACACGTTTAATATACTTATGAAAAGTATAAAATAATTTATGACTTATATTTTTATAATCGATTCTTATATTTAAAACTATTTTAAATACAATTTTAAGATGTGATCAATCACAAAGCTGTATTAGCATTTAAAATATTACTTAAGGACCGATTTCCAATTAATTTGATCGGTCAATTATTCTTAGAACTAACCAATTATTATACATTTGTTTTTAAATAAAATTTCATAATTGATACTTAATCGATTGATTAAGTTAATCGGTAATAAAACTGGCTCTAAGGCGATTTTAAAATAAGTCGATTATGAATATCGTCTATAAATATAACATAAATATAAATCTAATAATAATTTTTTTACCATCTCTATTTATTAATAATC